CATTCACTGATATGACATCTTATATATACACTTGATAATGTTAATATTGATAAAAAAATTCATTGGAGAAATTATGAATTATCATTTTTTTTCTTTAGCTTAAATAAGTTCTTTCATATCGCTATAACTACTAAATGTAAAAGCATCTTATTGAAACTTATTGGATAAATTTAAATGTGTACATCTAAGATAAAATGAATGAAAGGAATATAAAAAGGAAACATATGTGCATAATCAATTATAAATTAAAAAGGTTTTGAAAATTATAGTGCTTTTAAAGGTACAATTTTTTATACGGTGCTCCTTAGATGCATGTTTTATTAAAAAAATATGATATGATAAATTTCATACAAAATTGTGTCTTATAAAAAAATATTCTTTTTACCTTACCTAAATAGATTACAGTATGCTGTCTAAATTTCTTTTAAATGAAAAAAAAAAAATCTTTTAGATGAAAAATGAATGATTGCTTATGATGACTTGCATGCATTTTATTTCAATTATTGAAATTGATATAAACATTGTCGTTGTCAAGTCCCAAGTCCTGTATAAGAAAAATGGAGGGTTGTGCTAGGTAGTCGATAGCTAGCGTAAAACTTGTTAAATAATCATAACATGAATCCTTTAATACATTGTGTTAATACTAGGTGAAAGCGATGCATAGTATGGCCTGAATACAACGACAAGTGAGCTAGTCCATGAAACTAAAATTAGGATAAGAATTTGGAGTACAAGTTTCTTATAGGCAAATTAATAGAATTAATAAATATTATGATTTATAGGTAAATAAATATTCTTTGCATTCATGAAACTATTTGGATAGAAGGCTAATGAGATTGATAGTTTAGGATTTAAATTATGATATTCTGATAGGAATCATACTAGAAATGGTGTAAGTGTAATTATAGATATGAGTTTGAAGGATAATATTGTAAAAATTAATAAAATTAGAGATAGAATTATAACTTTAAGTATTGTTGTTGATGCTAAAATTATTAATATTATAAGCATTTATATTCAAGCAAATTTGGATGTGTTCAAAATTAAAATTTTGAAATGAACTGAAAGAATTAATATAAAAGATACATCTCGAAGAAAGAGTTTTTATTGGAGAAGATTTAAATGAACATGTTGGAAGAGAGGTAAATGATTTTAAAAGCATTCATGGTGACTATGGCTTTGGAGCGACTAATGAAGATGGTAAGACCATATCAGATTTTTCTTTAGCTTTTGATTTTGTAATTGCTAATACCTATTTAAGAAAATTAATGGAATAAATAGATATTATGATCCACAGGTAGATAAATATTCTTTGCATTCATGAAACTATTTGGATATAAGGCTAAGGAGATTGATAGTTTAGGATTTAAATTATGGTATTTTGGTATGAATCATACTAGAAATGGTGTAAGTGTAATTATAGATAAGAGTTTGAAGGATAAAATTGTAAAAATTAATAAAATTAGAGATAGAATTATAACTTTAAGTATTGTTGTTGACGTTAAGATTATTAATATTATAAGCATTTATATTTAAGCAAATTTGGATATGTATTCAAAATTAAAATTTTGAAATGAACTGAAAAAATTAATACAAAAGATACCTCTCAAAAAAAGAGTTTTTATTTGAGGAGATTTAAATGAACATGTTGGAAGAAAAGTAGATGATTTTAAAAGCATTCGTGATGACTTTGGCTTTGGAGCGACTACTGAAGATGGTAAGACCATATCAGATTTTTCTTTATCTTTTGAATTTGTAATTGCTAATACCTATTTAAGAAAAGAGATGATAATCTCATTACTTATAAGAATGAGTATAATAAAACTCAGATTGATTATTTTCTTATAAGAAAAATAAATCCTTTATATTGCAAAAATTGTAAAGTTATACCTAGTGAAAATTTATAAAACCAACATCACTTACTAGTTTTTTATTTTAGGATGAAGGAGAAGAAAATTAAAAATAAAATAAATCATTGTTCTAAGAATTGGATTGGGGCATTTAAAGAATATTAACAAAAATATATTTTAGAGTAAGATTCTAGATCTTTAGATTTTGTCTGTGCATGAGAAAGCTAATCTTATGTAAGAAAAGCAGCTACTGATATTAAGAATATTGCAAAAGATATATTTGAAGTATCAAAGGGAAAAGCTACTAGTAGTAAAAATAATTGGTTGTGGAATAAAAAATGTGCAAGAAATATAAAAAAATAAGAAGATTTATAATAAAAATTGGTTTAGCTGTAAAAACTCCGATAATTATGAAAGATATAAAGAAGCCCGTAAGGAGTCTATGAAAGCAATTTGCAATGCAAATATTTTAGCTTTTAATGATTTATATAATAGATTTGATACTAAAGAGGGCGAAATATATGTATAAATTAGCTAAACAAGGAGATTTGAGTAGTAATGATTTAGTTCAAATGAAATTTATTAAGGATGAAGATCAAAAAGTGCTTTTATTAGAACAGGATATTCAACAAAGGTGAATGAGATATTTTGCTAAACTTTGTAATGAACATTATGAGAATGCAATTGACTTTAGGGACCTTAGCACGCTAAATGAAAATAAAAATTTTTATTTTTATCGGCGTATCAGTAAAATCGGAGTTAAAGAGGTTTTAAAGAAAATGAAATGTGGAAAATTTGTTGGACTTGATGATATTCTAATAGAGGTGTGAAAAAAGGCTTTCCCTTTTCCTGCTTCTTTGTTACTTTTCACGTAAGATAGAGCTTCCTCTTCGGCTTCGCTGCTTCTTTATTACTAGGGTTTGCTTTGCCTCTTCTATATTTCTTAGTTGTTGTTCTGCTTCGCGTGAAGTTGAGTTCTGCAGGTATCAAAGCTTCTCCACCTCCTCCGAAGACATTGTTCTTGTCATATTTGTGTTCGTCGCAAAGGTAACGATATTTCTCCCCTTTTGCGCACTTCATCCACTAAATCCGTAAATCTTGTAGTCCATAAATCGATAAATCCGTTGAACGTCGGGATTTACTAAATCTCGATTTACATCGTAAATCCAAAATTTAAGAAGAATACAGATTTACAACGTGCTTGAAAACTGTTTGGCAGGATTTACCATATATCTAGCATAAATCCTACTACAAATCTGATACCAAACAAACCCTTAGATTTCTATTTTCAGTGTTTTTTTTTAAAAGACTATAAAATAAATGAAGAAAATATGTTTGACTGAACTCATTTGTTCACTATTTTCAAATTAAATAGCAATGCTTCCAAAAGCTACGGAACACGTTTTCAACACATTTTTGAAAACAAACCCTCAATTGGCTTAAATATTGCATCATTAAATACAATTAATGTGATTATCATTATTAGTGTATTTATAACTACAATGATTTTATCTACATCCAATTTTTTGTGGTTTTAATTTAATATGAAATAACATCTCTTTACATACTAAAATTAAATGGTAAGAAAAACAATGACAAACATGGCTACGTTTCTAGTTTTTTCTACTCCAAGATAAAAACAGATGAAATGAAAATAATTCTGTAAGATATTATTTTATTGTATTCGCTTCTCATCAGGAAAGGTGCATGGCAAAACAGCTCTTCTAGAAAAACTAAAAAGAAAGCAGCCTTCTCTCATTTCATAGACCACTTTATTCATGAATCAACACTTTAACAGAGTTTGCAAGGATCTAGTCAAGCTCAATTCAACTCCTAGAATGATAGATTTTCACACAATGGGATTACTCTGCATCTTCAAGTTAGTAAAATGATTCTAAGGAGCACAGAGAACCATGGCTTTGATAATATTTACTTTCATTCTTTGCATTTCTTGACTATTGCACAAAATGATTAATTTTAGCCTCCAAGGCTACATATTGAATTTCTTACTATAATAAAGCATATCCGAAAGCTTCACTACAACTTCTGCTTTTAGGATTTCAATTCATCCTCACCTTCATCATTATCATCAACTTTATCTCAACAACATGGGGTCAGCTTTATGAATTGTCATTTTTCATTTACACCTACTATGTGTTGCTAGAGCTGTTAATCAATTCTTTGCTAAATATTTTGAACAATTTCTACAGATGTTACCATTAGACTATCACTTCTCATTCCTTACTTTTTTTATTTTACTTTTATCTACCCAGCAAATGGCCATTTTGTATCCTTTGTTGTATGCTAAAACCACCTAAGACTATTGAATTATCTTATTTTCAATGGATGGCACTCAAATCCTTCCTCTGATATAATCTTTTTTAAAATTTATCTAATATAAAATGTAATTTAAAAGCTTGAACTTCCCTGGCGGGACTTAGTCTTGCAATCGGTGTTTGTGAAAATGACAAGCCCAACACCAACCAAAACAAGTAACGTTTCATGACGTTCTAAAAGAATACAAATCACTACAGCAGTCAGTTCACAGGTTCTCAAGTATCAAAAAAGTCAAACATGCAAACTAATGTACAAGCATACAAGACTTCATGTTAACAAGAATAGCCTGGGCTTTCAAGATCTAGAAGCATTCCACATGGTTTTCAATCCGTGCATAATTTAAGGTATAATAATCATAACAGTCCCACTTTCCAATACTATAATGTTCTAAAGCAAAAAAAACTTTAAAAAAAAAAAAAGCGAAATGCAGAAATTAGCAGAAGTTCGTTTAGTTGAATTAAGTGTAATAATACTGTTTTGAAAATGCCAGTGATTGATATCAGAGTAGCTAGAGTTTGCGTGATAAATTTCTCTCACGAACCCATGCAATTACTAAACCAGCACCAACAGCTGTGTAACCATGAAATATAGACCAGCATTCGATGATCAATAACATGCATATTGATCAAATGACTAAAGCCTCCCCAAACAAAAAGTTTTTTTTTTCCCCGAACCCTAGAATTAGCTATCAACAAAGTACAGATGAAAACCCCAGAATCTGACAGCGGAGCTATCAACAAAGTACAGATGAAAACCCCAGAATCCGACAGCGGGGTGAAAGGATCAAAAGTAGCATAGAAAGGGGAGAGATACCTGCTCTGCCTTAAGCTCTCGGGCGGGCTTGACCCAGAGGAAATATGCGAGAGTGCCGGCGACGGCCCAGGAGGCAAGATTACTCCAGCCTCGCAATCCTCCAAGTGAGTTGCCGACGAAGGACCTCACGTTACCAATCATTCTTCTGGAGCTCGGGCTGACCATTTCTTCGTTGAATTGGAGTTCTCAGTACTATTGAGCCAAGGAGGCAAGGAACACGGCCAATTTTTCAAAACATAATAAAAAGCATTCCAGTGTAAGGCTTCGCTAAAAAAAAAAAAAAAGACGAAAAAGATAGGCAAATTTGACTTTTTTTAAATCGGAGAAATTTGTCCCCCGTTTATTTTGTTTAAATTTAAATATATTTAAAATTTATTTTGAATCAAAATACTCTTTATTTTGGTCATCATTTTTTTTTTTAAATCCACCTTGAAAAAAATAAGGTTTTGACAAGATTAGAGCTATATTCGTGAAAAAGTAAACATGATTTGAACCCTTCTGAACTATATTCAAATATAATTCAAATATGATTCAATCTATATTCAAATAAGGTTCAATTATATTTCTAACATTGTTCAAATGATGTCAAAACATATTCAATATTTATTTTTTGTTTTTTTTTTGATGAAATGTAACTTGCATTAATAAGAAAATAATAGCCTAAATACAAGCTATTTAAAGCAAACCTAAAGAATCACATTCCTCCTTCAAGCAAAACAAGAATGAAGGAGGAATATCTTCAAAGCTAATGTCTTCCCAAACAAACGAGCTCTTTAAAGCCAAATTAGCACATACATCCGCTAATTTGTTACAATCTCTATTAGTAAAAGAAAACAAAACTTGGTTGAAATCAAGAAGGAAAGACAAGTTATCCTAAATGCATTTACTAACCTTCCAAGCCTTCATAGCCGATTGAAGAAGTTTTATAATGTTAAAATTATCTCCTTCAATTATGATTCCTTGAGCATCAAACATCCAATCACGAATGATATTTTTCAAATGAAGAATCGCCATCAATTCAATTTGAGCAATGTCCCAGTGCATAATATTTACTCCAAAAGCAATAAGAACTCTTCCTTTCTCATCTCTTGCCACACTGCCAAATCCAGCCACATTATTTGATAAGATAGAAGCATCTACATTTAATTTAATCTAACCGGTTGGAGGAGGATACCAACAGCAAGACAGCTTTCGCCGGTTAGTATCCCAGTTTTTCGGTACAGGATTAATAAAGTTGCTAACTGTAGCTGTAGAGGCCACATTTGCTGCCAAAGAAATGGTTGAGTCTTCAATGGCATCATGAATCAATTTACATCTACTTTTCCACACAAGCCAAGTAGTCGTACAATACATATTGGCAATGAGAGAATTATTTCCTACAAGCTTCTTTAAACCTTCAAAACAATCGTGTAAGTTGTTAAAGATCGGAATACTGAAGCCCCAGTTATTGAGTAAAGAAATCACTTCATGAAGCTTTGAGCAGTTCCCTGCAATATGCCATTCGTTCTCATCTTCTTTACATCCCCTCGGGCAACCTGAGAAGTTACTCACTTTCCTTCTAACTAGAAAATCATTATAAGGGATGGCATCATTATATAGCCTCCACCGAAAGAGCTCAATCTTCGGTCTTAATTTTAATTTTTTCATCCAATTCCATATAACACCATCACTATTTTTATCAGATAATGCTTGAAATGCCAAAGCAGCAATTGACTTTCTTGAAAATTTAGAATTGAGCTCAATGAGATCGTATCCTCTTCCGGCCTAAATTGGAATTTGAGTAATAAGTTTCATCAGATGCTCCCCAAATGTTAATTGAATACGATCAATATTCCACTTTCCATCCAGAATGAAATAACATAGATTTAATTCACTTGGTTCCAAACAGTTGACAAACGTTGGCCACCTTGCTATACTTTTATCCAGAATCTAGGTATCAAACATCCAATTGATCGAATTACCATTAGAAACATCCCACCTAACAATGTTTCTAAGAAAATGAGCTCCCATTGTGATGATTTTCCATGTCGATGAGCAATTTTTCATTGGAGTCATCTAGACGTCTTCACCATATTTAGCTCTTAAAATTTGGTTCAGTAAGGTAGAAGGCTTTGTGCAGAAATTCCATGCCAATTTGGCCCGTAGAGGACCATTCCTTGATACAGCTGAGAATAATCCTCTATCGCCTTCTTCCTTAGTCTTGCATAGCCTTTCCCAAGAAGCATAATGAATACCTGTATTTCCATCTTTCTTTTTCCACAAAAAGCTTCTACACATTTTATCAAACTCTTTTAAAATACTTAAAGGAACAAGAGAAATTGAAGTTAAGAACATAGGAAGAGAGAGGAATGCTGATTTGATGAGCACCATCTTGCCTTCCAAAGAGATGAATTTTTGTCCCCAAATATTTAATCTATTAGTTGCCACTTCCATAAGTTTAGAGAAATTCGAAGAAACCACTCTCCTCAAGGTCATCTTTACACCAAGGTAATTCAACTCCTTAACCACATTAAATTTAAGAAGATTGGAGATTCTCTTTTTAGTTCTATGGTTGGTAAATTTTCCAAAAATAACCATAGATTTATCCTTGTTAACTTTTTGTCCCGACCATAAACAATATTTATTTATGATCGATTTCAAATCTTTAATAACTTTAATCTTGCATTTCGAGAAGATCAAAATATCATCTGCATAAAGCAAATGGGACACTCTAGGAGCCTTGGGAGAAACAGAGATCCCCACATCCCCTTTCCTACCATTTAGAGCATCTGATAGGACTTGAGAGCAAAGAATAAACAAATAAGGGGATAAAGGGCATCCTTGCCTAAATCCACTTTTCCCTTCAATCCAATCAGATTTCTTTCCATTGATCAATATACAATATTTGGGATTTAAGATGCATTGTAAAATGAGTTCCTTAAATTTAGTAGGAAAGTTAAAATGAGAGAGCACTTGCCTCAAAGCATCCCAACCAATACTATCATAAGCTTGTTCCATGTCAAGCTTGATTGCAAAAAGACCTTTCCTAGCTTTAGAATAACGAAATTTGTTGAAGACTTCTTGTGCCAAAAGAACATGATCTGACAAAGAACGCCTTTGTTAAAAGCAGCTTGATCCGTCGAGATTAATTTGTGAATAACCATTTCCAATCTTCTCAAAAGCATTTTTGCAATAACTTTATAAATGGTCAAACACAAGCTAATAGGCCGATAACTATTTACCTCTTGAGGATTTTGATTCTTCAGAATCAATACTATAATGGTTTCCTTCCACGACATATGCATATCTCCAGAAATCAGGAAATGCCTCACTGCTAACCAAACATCTTCAGCTATCAGATTCCAAAACTTTTTCAAAAATGAAAATGTTATCCCGTCCACCCCAGGAGCAATATTGCTGCCAGATTTTTCAATAATACTTTGAAGCTCTTTCCTAGTGAACTCTTCTTCCAACATAGATTGATCCTTCTCATTGACAATTGCCAAAGGATTAGGCCAGCCATCAAGTATACAATTCCTCTGTTGCCATTTCAGCTTGAAGAATTCAGAAAACACTTTCTGAATTTCATTTACATCCTCCATTATATTACATGCATTAGTTTTAATATGACTAATCCAATTGGTATTTTTCTTGGCATTAGCAAATGCATGAAAGAAACCAGAATTGCAATCTCCTTCTTCCATCCACCTTGCTTTAGCTCTTTGCCTCCACCAAGTATTGAGTCTTGTAAGAGTGACATTGAGTTCATTAATTTTGAATCTTAAAATCTGTAGCTTTTCCAAAGAAATCCCAAATTCGCCTTCTTCCAGTTGAATTTCTTGTATCTCTTCCTTCAATCTGTCCCGAAGAACCATAAGGTTTTTGAACTTGGCTTTGCTCCAGTAGAAAAGAGATCTCAAAGTTCTTTTAAATTTAACATTAAGAGAAGATGCCGGATCCAACCCAGCGAATTTACTCCAAGATTTCTCCACAATAGCCTCTGCTCCATGATAAGTTGCCCAAACTTCTTCATACCGGATATCAATTTTGTTAACCACAGCAGGTTTGAAAATCTCTAGTAAAACAGGACAATGATCCGAAGCAATACGAGATAAATGTTTCACCATAGCAAGGTGAATAGAGTTCAAAGCAATGGAATTGATGAGGCATCTATCCAATTTCTCTAGAATCCGAGCTCCGCCGGATTTGTTGTTACACCAAGTAAATTTAGGTCCCATAGACTTCACCTCATGTAAATCATTGTTGATCATAAAGTTCTTCAAATCTTTAGCTCCTTGGAACAAGTAGAATTTTTTTCCACCTCTCTTTTCATCTTGACATAGAATACAGTTGAAATCCCCTCATATCACAGTAGGCAAGTCCTCTGAGCAATGTTTTTCTAAGCATTCCCAAAGGATTTTTCTATCATTGGTCTTATTACTCCCATAAACAGTTGCTATTTTTTCAGGTGCCTTTATTGAAAATCTGTAATTTTCCCACTATCATTTGTGAAGAAACTTCATCCTCTGTGAAAGATGCCAAGTCCTTCCTCCATAAAACTGTCAAGCCTCCAGATAAACCTTCAGAGGGAACTAGAAAAGATTCCCAGTTGCTTCCCAGCAGTCTGATAGTTTGAGAATTCTCCAAGGAGTTAATTTTAGTCTCTATCAACCCAACAAAAAAAACTTTGTGGTCTTTAATCACTTCCTTCAAATATAGAGCAGCCTCCACCTTCTTGGCTCCTCTACAATTCCAAAAAATAATCGAATTCATTGCTTAAATATGGGAGAAGGTCTCCCATTCTTCTTGCTTTTAGCTCCACACTTTTTCCTCTCACTTTCCAATATATTACCCGATTCGAGAGACTTCAATTCTTTAAACAATTTAACCTTCTTTCCAGAAGATAAATTACCATTCACTTCATTCTTAGAGTTATGAAGATCTTTATCTTTTGCTTGCATGAGTTTGCTTTTTTTATCAAATACTGCTTCCACATTTGATATCCTCTGAGGAATTTTTTCAACAATTTCACCTTCTTCTATACAGCCAAACTCTAGACTTTCCATAGCTTCATTCAGGATTGATCCTTCCATAGTTGCCAATAAATCAAATTTATTGATAATTTTAAGAGGGGATTCAAGCAAATCTACCTCAGCTTGTTGTTTATCTGGAATTTTATTAAGAAGATTTGAACCAATCTTCCCTTTAGAAAATCTTTCCGGCACTTCAATAGATTCTGAAAAAGGTTGATCATCTCTCAAAGGAGCTCCTTCTGATTCACCATTCTTTTTTGAATTATCAGTGCAAGGTTTTGGAACATATATCTTTTCCATATGAATAGAGATCCTAAGAAGTTCCTTTTATCAACCATTCTCTTGAATCTTCTATTGCCATGTCTCACCTGGATCCATGAGGTCATCCTTTAAATTCTCAACATTTACAATAGATTTAGCCTCTGCCTTTTAATTTCCTGCTTTGTAAAATTCAGTTGCATTAACAGTCATTGAAACATTTTCTTTACTAACTTCATAGCAGTTGTTAACCAGATGACCAATTCCACCACATCCATCACAAATTTTAGAAAATCCTTCATACTCTACCGCCTGATAAAACTTTCCAGTCGTTCCTTCCACCCAAATACCTTTTGGGAGTTTTAAATCTAAGGGAATACGAACACAAACCCGTGCAAACTCCCTTCTACTCCATTGGAACATATTCCCATCAAGGAGGTATGGTTTGCCCACCATCGAATCTATTCTGCAGATGTTTACCTCATCCCAGCACTGAAGAGTTAAATTGGGAAGCCGGATCCAAACCGGAGCTGAAATACCTTTGAGAGAATTAGGATTGAATGAAGTGGACCATTTATCCAGTCCCACTACTTGTCCTCTCACCCACCAAGGTCCACCAGAAAGCATGTTCTCCACAGCAACCGTATCTTCAAAAGAGCATAACATCCATCCACGTCCCAAACCAGTTATATGGAATTTCCCAAAACTGTTCCACTGTCTTCTTAGATCCATGCTAACCATATGAAAAGGAATTTCATCCCCAAAGATTTTCACTACTAAAGCTTTCTGCAATCTCTTGGCATTCTCCATTTCCTTCTCAGCAAGTAATTTAACACCTTTTCCATCTTCAGTAAGAATAGACCCCAGATCTAGGCTATCAACCTCGATGTTCTGTTTCTTATGCCAAACCAAATTGTTCTCCACATTAATCCGAGTGTTCGGTGGTTGAACAGGAATATTACAAACTTCCTTTGATACAACTGGAGTAGTAAGAGTAGATTCAGCATCAGACCTTTGACGCAAATTCTCATCCACCTTATCTTCATTTTTGGATTTAAACTTCAATTGGGGGGAAGACGTCAATTCCTTCCTACTTGGTGAAGAAGGCAGAGACGCATAATTAATGTTTTTGATCACTGAGATCCTTATTCCCTTTGAGGACGAAGCTTCCATATTGAATTTACCAATAACTTCATTGACAGAGACAGGGATGTTAAAAGATTTCACATTAAATCCACTGTCCTCTGTTAAAATTTCTTTCCCTTTCCCAATCACCGAGACGGGAGAAGATTTCTTCGTTAATAAACCACCCTCATTAATCACCAGAGGTTTTGTTACCAGACTTTTGAAATTATTATTGTATTCATCAAGCTTATTCGAACCTCCATTGAAAACTTCAGAAGATTTCTTCACAGGAATAGATAATCCTTTTATGTAATTCGACCAGGATTCCGACGAGAGAATCAGATTGCGCTCCATAGTATCCTATAAAGATTGTCGGCCTTCCGGCCGATCGCCGGATCCACCAGATGTGGACGAGGAGGCCGCTGAAGACGAACTGAAAAAATGGAAATAATTTTTGAATTCCCAAACTTTCTCTCACTAGACTTTTATTCCATATTTATTCAAATAGCACATTTGCATTCTAAATGCTTTAATTGAGTAGAGAACAAGGTTTGTATGGTATGGTGCAATTACAATAGTTAGAACACTATAAATTATAAGTAGTGTGCACATGAGAACTAATTGATGGTCGTGTGTAGTTTTTGGTCAGACTAAATGGCTAGCAAAGACTATACAACTTTTGTTTGATATTCAGAGGTGTTCTAGAGTTTATGGAAAAATAATAAAGGGTTTAAAAAGGTATATTAGTAGGAATATCAAGACTAGTCCAATTTTCATTAATTTAAAGATCACTTTATGGAGTACCTTTTATGTGGGATAAATATCTAAAAACGACAGTATAAGATTATCATAGGATATGAACTTTTGATTTGGAGTTAATGATAGCATTTAATAGAGTTTAAGAGGATGTCGATATGTAGGGAATAAGACAAACTACTATAACATAGCAAACATATTAGTTAACATAGCCCACTACCCAATGCTAAGGAATCAAGGAATATCCAATACAAACTATAATAGGGCTCCAATAGCTCTCTGTCACACCCCAGGTCCAGAAGGTGATACACACTAACAACACGGGACACGATGAAGAGATATGAAAACATGTTCTATATTTACAAAAAGAAGTATAAATATACAAAAGATACAATAAGACATATAAGCAGAAATATGAAAACATGTTCTATATTTACAAAAAGAAGTATAAATATACAAAAGATACAATAAGACATATAAGCATCAGAGTAAATAGAAGAAGTGAAAGTAAAGAACCAAATTATTAATAGAAGTCCAAATAACCAATACATTCAAATAATAATAGTTCTGATATAAGCCAAAATGAATGTAAATATAGCAAAAGTATGAAAGAAAACTACCCAACCCATAGAAAATATTTAACTACTATAAAATATAAATACTAAAAATATTTTACCACTGGTAACTCTTCTCCTGTGGTGGCGGTCCACTAAACACGACTGAAGTACCTACTGAAAAAGACAATGGGTGGTAACTACTATATATCAAACCATGAATGACAAAAAAATTTGGCCTCCAATATGGACAACCAAGGGGTAGAAGTAACAAACTAGAAAGAGTAGTAATCTATAATGCTAAAATCAAGATAACAAAGACATATGCCATGTTTCCTAAAATAAAATCTAATATGATAGTGACATTTAGGTATCTGACAAGTTACTATCAACATAATTATTTTAAATGCCAGAAATTGTAATCGTGCTAGGTATCATCATACCTCAAAAGGACATACAATCATTTATTACTTCCAATTCATGTTTGCTTATATTCTCTTACAATTAAACATATATATTTATTGTCGATTCATCATTTACCCATACCAAGAAGGTAAATATCAACCCAAGGAAACCTAGTAATTTCCTGTAGAGTCATCACTCTCGGGACCCGTCGACCCCTTCTAGCTAAAAACTAATAGGGTTCTACTGAAATGCATACAATCTTACAAGATAAAAGCTTTTATGAATAACAAATAAATATCGTATAAATCAACAAGTCAAGTATGGTCTGTAGAAATGAAATTCATTTTATTTAACCAAATTAAATTGCATAAATCTAACTTTTCCAACATACAAATTTAACTTGCATGATTAAGAACTAATGAGAAATGAATCAAGTATAGTTATGATTGTCACATGCTAATTCGATATGAACAATAGCAAAGATTTATTACATGTAATTATGCTAAAGAATTCAGAATAGAACTGGCAATATAAATAGCTACAAGGGAACCTAGTACAATTGGCACAGATTACGCCCCTAATAAAGGAGGGTATGTTTACATCAAAATAATAAAAATTACTTACCATTTATGTGAGCAATATGAAACTCTAAGCCTATCCAGTTTTGAATTGACAAGGCTACGAAGATAATGACTCCAAAAGTATTATAAGAAAATTTTTAATTCAATATATAAACTATTATGAAAAAGACTCCAATACAAGAAATATATGACTCAAACACAAATAAATTCACAAAATTATATGGGTATTGCTAATCAAGATCTAAAATCACAATTACAATTAAACATCCAAATAACAACAATAAAAAAAAGTTTGCTATAATCGCATACTAGACTTTGATCGACGTGGAAGGATGGAGGAGAAAGACCAAATCTTGATCCAAAAGAAAGAAGGTTAATTAAGAGAAAGAAAGAAAACTCCACCTTGTTCAAAGAGGTAGAAGATGTAGAGGTCTTCCTTGTTATCAATGGTTGTGATTCAAGACAAGAAACACAAAAGGAAGAGTAGGGAAGAGGTTCAAAAACAGTGAGAGGGAGTGGGGCTTTC